TAACACATTTCCCCTGAAGGTGTCACCATTGCTAATAACGGTGAAACTCTTCTTTGACAAAAATGATCTTAGATAATTACGTTTTGCTCAACTTCGGAGATGTCGCAATAAAATCAACTTCCCTTTCCCAATGATTTTAAGACATTTTAGGAGTCAACACGAACCCCGATGAACACGCCTCCAAAAACGAGACATGCATCTTTTGGCTTTGTAATAGTGAAACGGAAATCAATCAAGATCTAATATTATTTCTTTAAATTCTATCTACCCCTCCCGTCAATCCCTTTTCACTCAGTATACACGTGTATGTGCGCGCGCGCGTGTGTGTGTGTGCGCGCGCGCCCGCGTGTGTGTGTGTGTGTGTGTGTGTGTATGTGTGTGTATGTGTGTGTGTATGTATGTGTGTATGTGTGTGTGTGTGTGTGTGTGTGTGTGTGTGTGTGTGTGTGTGTGTGTACATTTGTTTTTGTCTACGTGTTTACTGCATTTTTAAAGTTGTTATGAAACATTTATCTGTTTCGTCTCTAAAATATTATACATTGATGATGTTATTATAAACGTATACAGATAATACAACAGTACCAACAGGCAAGGCAATAGACCTGGCCAGACCTATTCAATCAGGACACACAGTACCATAGAACGAACGGCAGAGTGATCTAGAAGTGTGAACCGCCATCAAACTCTATCATTACTTCTTGCGCCCCACACCTCACCCCTTTTTTGCCCACTGCGTGACGGCTGATGGTACTGGTGTTATGAGGCAATGGCGTGACTCTCACATAGAGTGAGCACAGATCGATCTCACAGCTTTCCAATCTACTCACTCTGCGTTTATTGTCTGCTTCCTCTCTCTCTTTTTCTCTCTTTCTCTCTCTCTCTCTCTCTCTCTCTCTCTCTTTCTCTCTCTCTCTCTCTCTCTCTCTATCTATCTATCTATCTATCTATCTATCTATCTATCTATCTATCTATCTATCTACCCTTGTGTTTCGTGGTGTCTGTGTATTTCTGGGTGTGTCTTTGTGTGTCTTTCTGTATTCGTGTGTGTCTATAATTATGTGTCTGTGTTTTTGTGTGTCTGTGTATTTCTATAATATGTGTCTGTCTTTGTCAGCGTTTGTCCGCGCCCGTGTGTTGCAAGAAGTGAATGGACAAGAAGATGCTATTTCACAAATCTTGTTGGCCTTGCTGGCAGCTTCTAGAGCAATGCTATTAATCGTTTCAACTTTCCAGCATTGTGTAATACCAAACCTGTTACATTACAACCATCACAAGGTTTTGTTTGTTGCGGAAGGGGGGGGGTGCGGGAGGGCTGATGGGGTTGTTTGTTTGTTAGATTGGGGGGAGGTTGGTTTTGGTTTTGGATTTGTTTGTTTTTTATTGTGGGTTTTTTTTATTGTTTTGTTGTTTGTTTGTTGTTTGGTTTGGGGGGGGGGGGTTCCAGTAGGAATCACATTTATTCATTTCCATCTCATTTTCGGAAATAGACCTTACTGTCTTATTTATGGCATTTCTTATAAGAGTATCCCTGTCTGCAAAGTGAACGAGAAAAAACAAGAGCAAGAAGAACAACGATAGGAACAAGAACCTGTTAAAAGAGAGATGAAAAGAAAGAGAAAGAGAGAGATGGAGAGAGAGAGAGAGAGAGAGAGAGAGAGAGAGAGAGAGAAAGAGAGAGAGAGAGAGAGAGAGAGAGGGGGGGTGGGGATGGTGGAGGGGGGGAGAGAAAAATAGAAAAGTAAAAAGACAGGCAGATCGACGCTTGAACACTTCATGCAACCAAATATTCCCTGTCAAAATTCATTAACAGACCCGTGCAACATTTTATTTAAAGAATAGGGACCAGAGGTTCGCTGTCCTGGTGTGGGCTGGGGTTTTTTGTGATAAAGAAATAAAGAACTGGGAAATGGGAACACCCATTCTCATTACTTTTTCCCACGTCCAGGGCAAAGATTTCCCTTTGATGTGAGATTTTCGTTTCTGTGGAAGTGGAACCATCCCTACCTTTATGTACTTTCAACTTTTTAATGACTTTTTTAACATGCAATAAAACTACCAATTGATGCACTTTTAGAAAAGGACATTTAGACAAATAAAGGTAAATGAATATACCAAGCGGGACTTTACCCTTCATTCAACTTCAGATTTATGGGAGCAGATAACTCCTCGACCCTCTAGGTCTAAGTGCTTCTCTCCCCATTGTCCTCTCTTTTTTCTGAGCAGTTTCGTCCCTTTTTCTCATGGCGTCATCCTGAGAATCCTATCGCTCTTCTCATCTAGTGGCTCTTTGTGATATCGCACTAAATGATTTGTACGGACACCCTTGTACTCACGTTCTCTCTCTCTCTCTCTCTCTCTCTCTCTCTCTCTCTCTCTTTCTCTCTCTATCTATTGATCTATCTATCTATCTATTTATCTCTCTTCGTCCTCCCCTGTCTCTTTCTCTCTTTTTGTCTCTCTCTCTCTCTCTCCCTCTCTCTCTCCCTTTCTCCCTATCCCCCATCCCTCCCTCACCACTTTGTTCTGTCTTTCCTTTTGCTCTCTCTTTCTTCCTCTCTCTCTGTCTCTCACTTTCTCTCTCTCTCTCTCTCTCTCTCTCTCTCTCTTTCTCTCACAAACACACACACACAAACACACACACACACACACACACACACACACACACACACACACACATACACACACACACTTGGCGTTCACAGTAATGTTCTCTAATTGCGTTTTCTGACGATTTCGACTGTTCAATTGATGTGAAATGTCCCTCAGCGATAGTCATCTCGCCCTCTCGAGGGCTCCCTCCTCGCATGCCTCAGAAGTCTCGTGTAATAGGTGGGCCAACATAAGTCTTATTTCAACCTGGCCACGAATGATTTTTATCTATTGGCGCCGAAATTACGAATTTTAGACGCATTAAAGACAGATAGGATCTTTCTCCCTGTTCCCGCGTCAGAGGCCAACAGAAAGGCCTATGAATAAGGGAAAGAAACTGCGAACAAGTTCTGGACCATTACCTTGCTACAAGGGAAATCGGAGATGTTTATCGCCGGCAAGACATTATGGCATTCGATACGAAGGTGTTGACTTCAGACATAAAATTTGGAAAGATGGTTGAACGGGTGAGAGGAGATAGGATGTGTGGTATTGAGGAAGCTCTCAAGTGGAACTATTTCACTGCGAGCGCTGATGGCAAATAAAGATGTAGGCAAGCAAAACACAAGGTTCTTAACACTTCCCAAACGTTTATTGCCTGTTTACCATACACTTCGTTTTTGTTTATTCAAGATAATAATATGATGTGGAAAAAATGTAAATTTTCCAAAACTTTTCTTCCAGAACATAACTGTTTGACCAGATGTTAAGCCTGCTAATTTTAACACTGTAAACTCCGGCTACGGTCGGAGGATGTTTCTTTACATTGCTGTTTGTTTCCTTGTTGTTGTTTTTTGGTAGTAGGGTGGTATTTTCAGGCTTTTTCTCAGCTAAATTTTACTTTGAAGAACTGCTTGAGTTCAAAAGAGGTTGATGGAAATCTGTACACTCTTTTTGTGGCCAGTAGAGAAGACAAAATAAATCATTATCTCCAAGACGTGATAGTCACGGAAACGGTTATCTAGTTTTGGAAAAGTGGATCCAACCGACAGGCAAACTAGGCTGTCTCATGGTGTCTTTGAACGGCACACTGGCTGCCGATGTTCAGTGCACCCTGTTCTACATCCCTGACAATGTACGTGCAGGTGTCGTGTGTCATCGGTGAGACACTATGAGGTAGACCGCCTGTCAAAACTCTCACTGTATTCCTTTACATGGATAGCCATGTCACTCTACTGTTTATGTAAGAATGCGAAGTTGTATAAGCTAAACGCCCTTTGCAACACTGTAAGGTTTAAGAGGCTGAACCTCTACATTCAACGTCCATCTCCAATAGCACCATATGAAAGGGGAAAATCGTGTAAAGTGCCTTTCCCAAGGACACAACAACGCAGAGCCTCAAACCCCCCCCCCCCCCCCCCGAACCAGCAACCTCACGATGACAAGTCCGGTAACCTATCTACTTGATTATTTACGCCAGCCTTTTCTTTGATTGTAATGTTTTTCGCTCTATCAACACTTTAGAGACTCGGGCATGCCTATCTGCAATGTGTGAAAACTAGGTCCCAGCAGACAGAGAGAACGTAATTCGACAGAACTCTCCTCAAGGGGATAGAAGTAGTGCCTATTGTGAGCTAGGGTGAAGAGCCTGGCCATCACACCACAGATGACGGTTTCTCATTAAGTCTTTCTTTCTCTTTATTCGTCTGACAATGGTATATGCATTTAATCATAAAAATGGTAGCACTTAGACCAAATATATCAACACTTATACCAAGCGTAAGAATAACTACATTGGGGAGTCCGTGGTATTAAACTTCATGCTTTACGGAATGTTCTTAGTTCTTTAGGAATGCTGACATTGTGTGATGCCTTTGAAATGCCCATGCTACATCGATAAAACTTGGACCCTAGAGGGTTTAACAATTTTTGGGATTAGCAGCACAGAACAAACGTCATCATTACGCGTGACTTTGAACGAGACAAAACAACCATGGTTAAAAAATACAGCCCGGCACAGAGATAATCCGCTATAGTGTCTTCCTGTTTCAGTTTTTTAGTCACATTATGAATTCGTCGTAATGCATAATAAGCTTGTAAGATAAATCAACCTACCGAGATAAATAGATTGTTTATTTTTTCTTTCTTTCTTCTGAAATGCTCATTAGGCCCTCTGAAAGAAAGGTGTCTGATACCAAAAGCTTAAACACGCATACAAGAAGACCAAGTAGACTGGGTGTGTTGTTGTAGCCTAAGTGCATACGAACTTTGTCCTATCTAAGTATATGTTAATTCTACGGTACTGGATTCACTTTTTTAATGCTTCCACCACTACCGCCACCAGTAACAAATATGCAAAAAAATAATGAAAATGATAACAACAGCAACAACAACAGCAGCTCTAACAACCATAGCAACACGAAGAAAAATGGCAAAGCGGAAACATTCTTATCTGTTTCCCTCTGATAGTGGGTTGTGTTTATCTTGAACCTCAGCAGTTCCAGAAAGCGCTCTGTAGCTGAAAGTTACAGGTGAAGAAGCTTGAATATAGCTACGATCAGTGTTTAATTCCTTTTGATTCCTCATGACAAAAGCTAGTAATGAGGTGAGTAGCCACGACAAATCTAGACGATTATCTCCAAAGTGTCAATAATCTCTCCTGAAATTTGTACCGTTATAGCGGTGGACAAAAAGAAATTCGACACTCATTATTTTGAACATTATCTACGACATTTGACAAACATATGTTGTCCTTTCTAGGACAGATTTTTTTGTCAAACCCCTCCAGCAAGAAATCCCTGGGGCTTAAAGTTACAATAACCACGTATGCCTTTCCATTCACAAGGATTTCTTGAGCTACAATCATATTTTTCTTGTTCGTTCTTCTCTGACCTAGGAGAGCAAGGATTAACTCTATGACTTTTAATGCCCTGTGCTAACAAGCAAATCCCTTGGGCACACCCGTGTGTGTAAGACGGTTCTCCGTCTATTCACAGCACACAATTCAGCCGGGGGGAATACTCTAAAAAGGCTTGTCCCTCTCCTCGGCCACGTTTGTTTCGCTCTTCTACGGCTGTTTGCTAACGTAGCGTACGCAAATGTAGTTCACCGGCCCGGAAGGGAGAATTGGGGGAATGAGAGAGGAGGTTTGTTGGGGGATTGGGGGGGGGGCGGACAAGAGAGGACACGAATGGGAGGTGGGCAGAGAGGAAGAAGGAGGAGGAGGAGAAGAAAAGGGGATGAAAGCGATAATAGGAGTAAGAAGAGGAAGGAGAAGGAGGGGGTGGGGAGAGTCAACGAACGTACTGCCAACAACAGAAGATAGTCGACACAACAGAAATAAGGGGAGCAGAGTAAGCATTATTCAAGAACAAGTACTGAGGGTGTCGAAATAGGACAGTACAGAATACAGGGAAATGTGAAAAAAGGTGGGATTGGGGTAGGGGTGGAAAGAAAGGAAGAAATGACGCTGGAACACGAAACAGAAAAAGATGGAAGAATGTGTACGTGTGTGTGTGTGTGTGTGTGTGTGTGTGTGTGTGTGTGT